GAGGGTCGAAGACCCGCTCGAAGCCGGCTGCGAGCCACAGAACGCCGAGCCCTGGCTCTGCGATGCCAGGTAGGGGAGGCCCGTGGCGAGATGGCGCCTACCGCAAGCAAGGACGCACCTAAAAAGGTGCTGGGGCTCCGAGTTTTCCGACGCTGATGTCGGCGATTCGAGCCTAGGAATGATATTGGTTATTAATTAGGCTTCTATATTAAGTGATTGAAGAGACCCCCTGGCTCTTAATGTGGCTCTTGCCCGTGTATTCTGTGGAGTGGGAAGCAGGGGCTCTTCGGCATCGACTTACAGTAGGATTTAGGGGTTTAGGGGTTTAGTAGGGCTTGGGATTTCAGGGTAAGGTTTAGGGTGCGACAGTATCGTAGGTCTACGCCAATGGGCCCATGGCTACTATGTGTTGGGTACTTGGGTTTCAGGCGGTCTTCGGCGATGCGGTTTCAGAAGACAGCGAGCAGCAACAACTAAGGCAACAATAGCCCAAGATGTACTGTAGGAACCTGATGACCCTATAACCCCAATATATTAGGGTTCATCTTCCCAGACCACCGGAAGGATCTAAAAAGTAGAGCCCCTAATTTGGGACCCCATACTACTAAGGGGTACTTTAAAGGAGCTCCTCTAGGGGATCTATTTTTTAGATCCTTCCGGTGGTCTGGGAAGATGAACCCTAATCAAGGCCCAGGCTTTCTTAATCAGGTTCCTATATTAGGCTTGAGAGATCTGCACGGATGTGTGTTCTGTTCAGGGTGCCTGGTGTCGTCGAGTCCACTTGCTTTAAACACTTCCGGGGAGGGTTGAGAGACTTAAGTTCGGGAGTCCCTGCTGCATATTAGTATAGGGGCCTTAATCCAGAATAGGGTTAAACTAAAATTCTATTAAGAAGCCCCCACAAAACCCTATTCTAATAATTAAGGCCCCTGCAGATTATTCATGAGACTCGAAGGCCCTAAACCCTAAACCCTAAACCCTAAACCCCTAAACCCTAAACCCTAAACCTAGAGCCCGGAAGCCTGCCCCCTGCAGCCCTGAAGCAGAAGCTCTCATCCCAAGAGCCCAGGATCCCAGCTTAGTACCTAAAAAATAGGTCCCCTATAGAGGAGCTCCTTTAAAGTACCCCTTAGTAGTATAGGGTCCCAAATTAGGGGGATCTACTTTTTAGGATCCTTCCGGTGGTCTGGGTAAGTAGGCTTCTGCAATCTTTGGGGTTGGGGTTGCTCTTTGCAGGGCTAGTGTATCCGGAAATTCTCCGGGAGCCTCCAACTCGGGCAACCGGGGCTTACGCCAAGAATCCGAGCCTGAGGCGTGGACGCCTACCTCTTTTTGAACAGGCGCCGTGGCCGCTTCAGAGCGACACCCACGTGGGTCCCCACCAGATCTTCCAACAATTATACGACGAAGTATCCCTTCGATCTGTGTAAATCATGGTTCCTTCCTTGGGTCGTGAGAGACTTGAAGGGACCCTAATTTAGAGAACTACCCAGATCAACCCCAAGCTCCCGGGAGCCACCCTACAAAAGCCCCGGCCAAAAAACCTTGCGATTATCCTGCAGTAGTTTAGTTCTTTCCGACCCCTCTCGATCATCGAAATCCCTTTTTATATAGGGGCCTTAGTAATTAGAATAAGCTTTTGGGGTCCATGATGCTATACTTATAGTAAGGAACCCCCCAAGATGGTAGTGGTACTTATTTAGGCCCCCTTCGTTTAAGGAGGCCCTTAGTCTAGGCACGCGGCGCAATAAAAAACACCCCGGAAGCAAGAACTGACAGTGGAGGGTTGAGGCAAGTGTAGAAAAGTGTGGCAGGCGCAGTGAAGTCGCATGTTCTAACCTACCCCAGCGGTCGCGTAGCACAAGCAAAACGGGTCAAGATTTCGTGACCAGTTTGTTGGGCGCACTATGCGACCTCTGAAGAGGTATCTTGACATTTGACATCACTATCATGTAGGAATTAGCCACTAGTATACCTAAGTAGAGAGTAACTGTCCTGGCGTCCCCATCACAGTCGCAGCAACATTATGACAAATTGCCCTGAAAAAAGTATTACGCTCCCTAAACCCCAACCCCTGGAGCAGCAATGCAACGATGAGCGGATGAGCGAGCAAGGTGGCTTTTTTTCCCAGACGCGTACCTCAATCTAGGACATTTTCAGGTGGGTGGTTACCGTTATAGGAGCCTTATAGAAAGTCTATATACCTTATGGAAGCCTTATAGAAGCCCTATATACCCTAAACTCCCCACCTGTAGTTTCCTTTAACTCTTGGCCGAGGATCGAGCCGCAGGATGCTTTGGACAGCCTCCAGTGCTGAGCGACCGCGCCGTCTCAGGGATTTCCGGGCTTTTTCATGAATGTAGGGGCCTGAAATAGTTAGGATAGGGTTTTTTGGGG